AACTGGGGTTGGGAGAGTGGGGAGGGGTAACAGGTTAGTGAAGGTCATTGTTTGCAGCCACAAGGCAGAAGCTGAGTCGGAGTGTAAAGAAGCAACTGGGGAAAAACAGTGATATAAAAAAACACAAAGAAAATCCAGGAATTCCCACCTTCCTTCCCTCAAGGAAGTTGAGCGCTGTACCGATGTTGGCGACCCAGTGGATTCTCTTCAGCTTCTTGCCTTGCTCACATGGCTGGGAGGTAAAACAAAAAAAACAAGAGAAAGATGTAGAAAAAGATTGGAAGAACAAAGAAATTAAGGATAAAAATAAGAATTCAGTAACTCAAAAGACAGTTGTTTTAGTTTTCTGCTGATATGCAGCACATGTGTGGAAGTTTGGGGATCATAATATTTAGTCAAATAAAGAGAAAATAAATAAAGCTAAAGAAATAAAGGGTAGGAGTCTGATCAGACCTGTGTTTGACTATAAACAAATCAATAGGAGGCAGGAAGCTTAGACCCCAGGCCACACAGGGGGGTGAAATCCTCAGGCCGTATTTGTGCACTTTGCATGTGATGTGCATGTGAAGTCAGATCTGTTCCTGTTAATCTGGAGCTTCTGATGCAATTCCAACATCCTAAAAAAGCCGATCAATAGGCATTTACATGTTATCATGGCTCATTTCACATGCCCTGCCTTAGGTTTGTGGCTTATTTAGGATTTGTCAGGAAAAAAAAATGTTTGTGGATGCAACCTTGAGGGGAATAAATACGTTTGTAATGAACTGCATGTTATAAAAAAAAAAAATCCAGAAATATGTCAGAAGTTGAAAACGTTGGAAGGTTTTGGTGAATTCATTGGTTGAACGTGATCGTCACACTCACAAGTTTCTGTCCAGAGAGAACCTCCAGCAGGGCCAGCAGCATCACACCATCCTTGATGTCCTCGAACAGGTCTGTCACCACCAGAGGTGGGACACGCTGTGTGGAAGACAAGAGAAAAACATGTTGTTTTTTTATGTCATAAAAATAATAACTAAGTACCTCGGGGTTTATTTTTCAATGGAGGTCAAACAGAGATTCCTGTTTCCAAGGACGATGGATTCCACGGAGTCTAAGTTCTACAGGAATGCAAAGCTGTGGGTTTTAATCTTAATAACTGTTGCCTGAACAATGAAATGATGTGACAACAACTGCACAGTTAACCACACGGCTGCATTCATAGAAACATGGTCACCATAAGAAAATGGAAACTGAGGTTTTAGATTTTTTTTTTATCCATTTCTGTACAGAATTATATTGTATTTTTGGATAATTTCATCCTGAACAGTATTTGACTTTTTTGGGTTATTTTAAACTTCTAAAACATAGATAAATTGAATCCTTATTTAAAAAGAAAGGATTTTAGGATCCTGAAATCCTAAAATATGCTGATGATTTCAAAGCGTCTCCCTCTCATTGACTCCATCCCCGACCTGACACAAACTTCAGACTTTGGCAAATTCACATCACTACACTACTTGAAGCTGATGCCACATGAGGGATTTCTCTTTAAGCCCAATCACATGCTGGGGCTGAGGGGAGGAGTGGGAGGAGGGGGGGGGCATATTCATGTGTGTGACCCATTCAGAGGGAGATTAGCTGAAGTGAAAGTAAGGGTGAGAGACTGCAGAGAGGAATGGCCATGGTTGTGGTGTGTGTGTCTGTGTGTGGTGGGTGAGAGAGTGGGGGGGCTAAAAGAGGCAGAGAGGGGCAGTTAAATCACCCAATCCACTGGATCTGAGGGGTATAATTGAGTAGACAGAGTGGCAGCAAGAAAGATGACAGAAGGCAGAGAGAGAGAGAGAGGGAAGGGAAACTAACCTCGCCCTCTCTCAAAATTAATTAGCAAATACACTGGCTCTTCAAAGTAATTCCTCGCTTAATGTCATTTCATGGCGTCGGATATTAGAAAATTCAAAAGACACTCGTGGATCTATCACAAAGTGACAGAGAAAACACTTACAAATGCCCCTGCGGCTAATTAAAGTGAAATTTACCTATTTGTTCATTATAATCCCAAAGCTAATGAGGGAATTTATGACTAATTACAAAAGAAGAAAGTCATATCAATTTCCTCTGCTTGGTCAAATGAGCTGTAAAAAATAATTCAGGATCTTAATGAGCTAATTGCTTACGAGTGTCTGGGCCATAACCGTAAGCCACGCCGTAATCCATGCTCCTGTTTGGTTAGCAGCAGTAAAGACAGAAGGATGAGGAAGTTTATTCTGACACTGACTGACACACACATGTCAAAGAATAAAATAACACTTAATGTTTATCATCTGCATATTTAAACTGATGGGCATAAAAAGTAATGGTGCAAGAAATAACACGAGTAAAACTGAACCTCAACTAAAATACTTGGAGACTCACTCCATTTTTAACACAAGTCATCTAATGTGGTTTGATGACTACGCTAAGGCAGGATCATCTATGTATCAGCCATGTACAAATATTGGTGTGAGAGCTCCGTGGATTTGAAATTAATTTTGTAAATGAGTGAATCTGACCTGTGAGTGTAAAACGTTCTAATGGGTCATTAATGCCAAATGTCAATTTCATTCCATTATTCATCCGGACAGAAGCAGGATTACCTATTCCTTTTAATTTATCCAATAGGTTTTAATGTCGGTAGAAGGTCGGAGGTCATCAGCTCAAATTTTGACATGTTGAACATTGAAATACATTTGCATACTAATAGTTTTATGGGTATAAATATCTCCTTTTGTCATTTGTCATCATGCACTTGCAAGATTTCATTATACATCAGTGTGAGGAGGGACGAGCGGGAACTGGGAAGTAAATGCCACACAGGGTGTGTAAAGCTGTGTGTGTGTAAACTCTTTAAAACACTTGGTTGACTGGTTATTCCCCTTAAGCTGTTTGCATGGAAAATGCCTGAGTGGCGCAGACGCCTTTCACACTGGCTCGTTTGTAATTAAGCTTTAACCTTCTGTGAAAGGATTTGTCAGAATGGAAACTTGGGGTCCTATAACGAAGTCCCCTCAGCCTCTATGCTTTTTTTTTTTTTTTTTACCAAACTTGATCTTAGTCTGTGTCCCCTCAGCCTCTATGCTTTTTTTTTACCAAACTTGATCTTAGTTTGCAGAATTTCACAGTAAACTCATCCAATAAATGCACAAAGAAAGAAACTACTCTGTTCCTCTTTAACAGTTAAACCTTTGGGTTAAACAGTAACTGGTGACTTCATCTAGTGAACTTAATAAGAGCCATTCATTTCCTGTTTAAATTACTGGCTTCCACACATCTCTTCACATCTCTTCACATTAAAACATCTTTTGTTAAACCTGTGGAATAAAAAAAAGAGGGGGAGGGGAGTGCTGAGGAGAAAGGAATCCTTTTTGCCATGTCTCAACACACCTAACGATTATTCACATACCTTTAGGCACTGTATTAAAGACCTGTGATAACTGGAGTGGCCTAATCATCCGCATAGCCAAGGGCATGATCTATCCCTGTGAGAGTAGAGCTAAACCAACTGTTAAAGCCTTCCCCTTGCCTTCCCCATTTAGCTCTCACACTGCCCCCCCACCACCAACCACAGACCCACCAATAAGTCTCCCCATGCAGTTCTTTGACAAAGTTCTTCTCATGTAAGACAGTGAAAAAATACCATTTTTATCAGAGCCAGCCTACAGAGAACAATCTTTTTACAAGTATCTGAATGTGATTACCACAGATTTCTCCACACCAGGCAAATTGACTTTTGCCCTGTAATCATCAAACAGCTTCACGCTGTTCAAATAATAAAAAAAAGTAAGACATATTTGAAGAACGATATGAGCCAATCAGTATCACTATGACAACGCCAGGCATCAGGTGAAGGACTGCGCGGTGTTGTAACAGGATGAGGATGAGGAGGAGGAGGAGGAAGAGCAGCCACTAATTTGATCAACGAGGTGGAGGGAAAAGCACGATGCACAAACATGGTTATCTTTCCTGGAGAAAGTGCAATCGTATCATCGATCCGTTAATCAGGGGAGTCGGTAAACAAAAGGGAACTGGAATTAAACGTTCCATATTGCTATTATATTGTTGTTTTTCTCTTTGGTTTCCCCTTCAACAGCCTTACATTTTCAATAGCACGAAAAGAATCAAATGAAATTCTCATTCTAGTCGTGTGTTGTTGTGTGAGAGAATGACCTGATAAATAAACTATATTCTCATCTTAAAGGTAATTAAAGTTTTAAGGCATGTAGATGTTGGCCTGAGAGTTATTTCCAGCTGGTGTGGCTGTGAGTCAGTCAGTGTTACGTCAAGGTTTATTTCCTTTGGAGAGCTTTTCAAATGAATTTTCTGCTCCATCTCACAGAGGTTCAAGGCCTTCACAGCTGTCGCCGTCATATAGGAAACCTTGAGCAAAGCGTCACAGATTGAAATAACACTTAATTGTGTTGTGCCGTGCCATATTTGCCTTGTCCTTCCATTCCCGACACACCATTCAAGCCGTAATTTGTTAAATTGAGGAAGCTAATGCAGAATAATACAATAATTACACACTTCTCAGTGGCACTCAGACTCAGGACTAATTGTTTAGTGAAAGTCACTGATATACTCTTGTCCATTCTCTCTGAGAATAAGAAACGAGGGGCAGTTATTACATTGAAAAAAAACCCAACTAAGAAACGAGGGGCAGTTATTAGATTGAAAAAAAAAATCCTAATCGTGAACAATCTTAATGGGTTTGTGTTGAGATGAAGGGCAACAGAACTTAAAATACTGAAAGCAGCTTGCAGGGGGAAAATGACAGTGTATTAAATGCTGCAATTAAAGTGTGATCATTAGATAAAGTAAATCCTTGCTACCAGCTATTTAAGATTGGATGATGACAAAAAGAGTACATGCAGGTGTCAGTGCGCTCATGTGTCCTGTTCCACAATAAGTCTTAGAAACTGTCACAGAGAACATTGTGAAAGGAGTTTCTGAGAGGAAATGGAAAAGGGAAATAGATTTTAGATTTTTTTTTTTTTCAGTCCTCAAATCACAGCTCTAATGTGCTTAAAGAAAGACAATAAAACAATACTGGCAGCAGTAATGACAGTAAAACAAACTCCCTTACCTTGGCCAAGTGGGAATTGATCCATTTGGTGAAGGTCCTTTTCTGCACTGCCTCCTGCTCGTCTGTAAATCAGAGCCCAGAGCATCACAATCAGCATGCAGGGAAAAAAAGAAAACTAGGATTAAAACACAATCATCACCTTGTCTTTTGTTTTGATTATCAACTGCTGGAAAGCAACTCTAATTAACTTCAATATTTTTGCTTTCTGTAACATCTGCTTAAATGCAGTCAAAACTCACGCCATGCTGTGATGTCTTTGAAAAAAATGTTTGACATTTAAGATGGCATTTCCACTTTTCACTGGACCGCTCTGAGTGAGGATAAAAAAACCCAACTCTCAAAAATGCCCTTTCTATGATAGAAGGCCAGGAGTGTTTCCTATACCATGACAGGTCCGTCTGCCATCGTCTATATAAGGCTTTTATTTATTTCTGCCATTGCAGCATCAGGGTCTGCTGCTGCCATACAGCTCACTTGAGTGCCAACGTAAAAAAAAGGCCAACATCGTTGGGAATATTCATAAAAAGGACATTCTTGGTGAAGGCTACTGCAGCAATAAAGTCCATTTAATCAACTCACAATCAATAGAAGCTGATGTGTCTGCTGCTAAAGCCACTTCACCTAAATGAGAACAGGACATAAATCAAGGCTTGTTGTCTCTCACATGTGCAGCTACGGTTTAGAATAATAGTCATATTTCAGGCAGAAATGCTAACATTTACAACCATGAACGACCTCGAGCTCTTGGCTCAAATGTCACTGCTTCCTCTTCAGCACAATGCTAAAAAACATTTTGGAAATGAAGGTACAGTAGCCTATGTCGGAATTATCAAGAAAATTGAGATTTACATATTTTGTAAAGTGAAACATTTGCCAGTAATGAGGGCATGTTTGGTTGGTCTTATGTTGAGAAACACACCTCCTAATTGGCAGTAACTCATCTTAAAGTTATTGGTGGGAAGAGCCAGGATCAACTTGCCTGGAATAGTCAGTCATAAATCTTTAAGTCTAATGTGTCTTGTCTAATTGTGGTGTGCAGCCCAGAGATACATGGATGCTCAGCTCCATAGTACCTGGACCAGGAAAGGGTAAGGACAGACTAAGACTGTCCTTTTATTGTGTTTGTTTTTCCCTGTGTAATTAAAACAGAATTCATTTATTATGCAGAACACACGCAGCTGTCACAAGAGTCTACCTGGGATTCTAAAGAGACGTTGTGTTGTCAGGTGACGAGGCTTTTTTTCTGAAAGAAGCATCAGTGTGTCAACTCAAATAAAACACTGACGTTCTGACAGTGATGAAGTTGGTTAGTGTGGCACCGGGCATTGTGGGCACGCAGAAGCAGAAAATGGGCGTCTGCGCATTTGGTAGGAAGGGGCGGGCATTCATGCATAATGCAGACACATCCACACGTAGTCATACGTGCCACTGAGCAGGTCCCCGTTTATATGAATTAATCTTATGATTGGGTCTGGGGGTAATCAATTATTGATGGGCTGTAACAGTGGATCAGAATGAGAAAGACTTAAACCTTCTGAGTCCTACAGCAGGAAAACATGTGACATGGAACATGTCCATTTGCACATATGTATGTGGTGCCAGCTCCTCAGTCTCAGGGACGGGGTGACTTTGAACAGCACACACACACAGGCACACACACAGTCACACTTCTACACGCAGAGACCGTCACCTTCTTCCATCATCACAAAGGGAAACAGCCACGTTCAGCAACCAAGCAGTGCAGCGGCCAGTTAACACACTTGATTGCCTCCTTGACAAGTATTGAACTGTATCATCATTAGTTTTACCCGCAGCTCCAGAAATAGCCACTTGGGCTCCCCGCAGTGAAAATGGCCTGGATAAAATATCATTGAAATGTAGTCTTCTGTTTCAGAGGCAGGCTGGAACAAAAAAAGGAAAATGAAAGACGTACCAGTTGGAACAGCCGCTGCCTAATTCCCCAGGATTTATGAAATAATGTGACATGAAATAATCTACATAAAAAAAGAGTGTCTCATCTAATTGTTAAACAGTGAGACACTCAGAGCTGCAGGCAGACAGAATGCTGAGAGCAGTGTATTGAAATAGTGATGAGCAGACAGACAGACAGACAGGCTCACAGCCACAGGGTCAGAGTCAGAGAACAGAAATCAAACAGTTTGACACCCTTCCCACTGTGCTGTGACTCACACACACACTGAGGTGCTGCCTCTCTTCTACAACTGCTTGTTTCACCTGCCGTAGGCTCAGAGCTCAGCAGGACTCACACACAAACACACACTCTGACAAGGTGGAAACGCCCCCCCCGCCCCCCAATAAATGTGAGAACATTTGCTTTTAAAATGCACCACAGCCCAGGGAAACAGAACCTGCCCAAAAGAGAACATTTGAAGACAGCACTGCAAAACGCACACACACACACACACACTCGTGCGGCAAGCACGTACGGTCCATGCTGCAGTGCCCACACTATCTCACACACACACCCACAGAACACAACCCTCATCATACGCAAAACACACACACTCGCCCTCACAGCGTCACTTTCCTCCCTGCTCTCTCTCAGTATTTCTTCACAGCCATGCGGACAGAGCATCTCACTCACCGCGGAGGTAGTGGAAGAATCCTGTCACCAGATTGAGTGATGAGTTCCTTTTTGGGGAGGCTTCGCCACCCGGCTGCCGTGCCATCTTGTACCCCAGACTACGCCTCGTCTCCCGCCTGTTTTCATGGGGACGTTGGGAAGACATCCAAGATAACTTCTAGGTGATGTTCCACTTGCCCTTGCCCCTGCCCTTGCTGCCTCTGCCTCTCTCTCTCTCTCTCTCCCCCCCTCTCCTCCTCCTTTGGGGGGCTGTCTTAGAAGAGCTCCCTGGAGACCTGCAGCTCTCAGCGATGGAACTGTTGCTCTCCAGTAAAGCAGGAGGGACGGTGTCTCCTCTGGTCTTTCACTTCTTGTCCTCTCTCCAGTCCTGCAGTAACAGGCTGCAGACTCATTTAGAGTCTGTGCCTTTTTTCCTGCCTGTTAAGCAGCTTGGGAGTGTGATGTGAGTGCACATGTGATGCAAAGTCCACCACAGCCCAGGGAACTGCAAAACGCAGAGTGTGAGTGTGTGTGTGTGTGTGTGAGTGTGAGAGAGAGAGAGAGAGAGCGGTGCAGTGCCGGCTTGCCTCAGCATCAATCTTACTTGCTTCGTCCCTTATGCCCTCTCTTTCACTCTCTCACTTACTCTCCCTCTCTCTCTCTCTTTTCCACACTGTCTCCACCTCACTCTCCTTCCCCCATGTCCAGTATTCGCTCTCCTTCTCCTTTCTCACTCATTCTCTCTCTCTTCTTCTCCCAATTTCCCACTCTAGGCTGCAGAAACCATCCACTACCCCATCATTGGTCAGCCAATCAGAGTCCGAGGAAGTGGGTGATGTCACGGCAGCCCCATCCTGATGTAGAGAGGGAAAACTCAGCAGTGGTAGGAGGGCACCGTTAAAACCATTCGGTGGAGGGAAGGATGTGGCAGCTTTGCTCTGACAGCATCTTACACGATGAAACACAGCAATGGGACAGACGTGCAGGAATTCCCTGTGTGTGTTGCTGACACTCTAATACTCCTCCTCACTCTCATTCACACAGATTTCACACAGGGCTCTAAGGCTTACAGCCTCCTGCTACACAGAGCCTGCAGGGGAGCAGACTAGCGCTGGCAGCCATCCTGTCTGATCTGCTACAGTACTGTTTTCAAAACAGAACCGCTTTCATCTCTAACAGTCACGTACAGTACGTTTGTCTGTCTGCTACTGCTGGGGATACAGAGTAGAGAATAGAACAGCATCCAGTGGTGGAACGAGTTTTGAATGTTGAACAGCATGGTTTACACACAATTTATGGTATTAAATCTGATAGAATTTTAACACAAAAGATCACAAATAAACCACAGAATCATATGAAATAAGTATGCTGCCCTCTGCCTGCATATTTATGTGGGACACCTTTGGGAGGAAATATTTATCAGTGGGAAATAGACCCAGAAGACAGAGAGACAGCAACAGAACTTCAGGGATGCAGAGCTGCATATATATCTAACCCAAAGTAAAAGTTAAGGTCATTAAGATTATCTTAACTTAGTCGAACCTTTGGAGAGATCGACTCTATTAAGCTATTATTTTCCCTATAAAAACTTTACATGTTGTAGAAGACACAATTGTCCTAATGAAAATAAATACTATGTGCATTTTCTATTTTTAATCAGTCTCCTTAAATAAACCCAAGTTACTGAGTGAACACTACAGTCCAATCTGCAGCAGTAAAAGCACAAGAATATTTTTTCTTTTCATTGACTGTCCTTTTTTTCGTGTGACCCATGTCCCCTTTTACTCAGTCGAACTATTTTGCTCATATTTAATAGAACATTTCATTGAAGTACTCCAAAACACACAGACACAGGCACAAGCTCAGGGTCGCTGTGAGCTCTGCCAGCACTAATAAAAGCACTGGGCTCTTCTTTGAAAGCCTATTCACAGAGAGTTTCCTGGACAGCAATAATCAGTCTGAATGGAATGATAGTTTTTATATCAGCCTTAAAGATGAAAGGATCATTCATCATATGGGTAGTTTTCTCTTTTGTTCTTTGGGTTCCCCCCATAAGGGATTTTAATTATGAAAGTCATCAATAACCAATGGCAGCTGTCATCCGCTATCTGTCTGCTGATAATCATGGTGGCGCTGACACTCCTGCAGCAGGAGCTCTGCCTTTAACTGGCTGCTCCAGTGGCGACGTGAGCCTTTTCCATGTTACTCACCAGCATTTGGTTTTTTATACGTAGGTACATTTTTAAATATATATAGAATAAATGTAAAAATGCATTCTAACATATATATGTATATGCTGCAAAATTAATGTACAGATGGAATCACAATTGTTGACATTTTACCTTTTTTGAATTCTCTTCATTTCAGTGTAATTTTAAATGACATTCTATAATAAGGTTTATCCTTTGCAAGAGTGGAAAAAATTAATTTTGTTACATTTTTGGGGGTAAATAATAATAATAATGAAACGCATGTTGC